AATACATTTTATCATACTCACTCCTTGACTTTCTTTACCATTTTCTTTACCTGTACTTAAAGGACATTTCCTTTAGCAAGGACAGGAAACGTCCATCTTCTTTTTTTTCTTTTTTGATCCTGGGGATTGAATCCAGGGGTACTTTACCACTGATCTACATTTCTAGCCCTTTTCATTTTTAAATTTTGAAACAAGGTCTTGCTAAGTTGTTGAGGGTCTTCTTAAATTGCTGAGGCTGACCTCAAACTTGAGATCCTCCAGCCTCTTCAGCCTCCCTAGTTGCTGGGATTACAGGCATGTGCCACCATACCAGACAGCAACAGAAAACTTTTAATGGTATTTACATAAGATTGTGGGCCCAATCTTTCCTTCCTCTTTCTCAAGGGTAGATAGTCTTTTCTTTACCTTTCCCCTAGCAATGAGTTTTTACCTGTACCCTGGATGTATTAGATATGCGGCCCCCTGTTGGGTGGCTTAAGGCCTTTTTTCTTATAGACAATGAGTCAAAACAGGGTCTCCTTTATCTGGAACTGACAGTCACCTAGGCCTTACCAATGAAGGAGATTCTTTCCATTCTCTTGTCCTCTCCTAATTTTTCTCTAAAGATCTGTGGGGAGGAAGCCCACAAGTAACTTCCAATGTGTCTACCTATATACAGGACCTTTGGCAACCCACTAAGAGAGTTTAGCCAAATGCTTCTTGTCTGCTTGGCTGGTGCCCAACCTCTCTTCCTGTGACTGTGTTCTGGCACAGGTGAGACAGTACTTGTATTCCTTCTTCTGAAGAACTCTGCTTTTCTTTGGACTTTAGCCTACTTAGTTTTTATGTCATAAGCATTATAAGACCTCTGATGAGTTTAAGAAATGTTATGATTTTGTGGTTTATCTAACATTTGATTATAATTGGAGTAGCAGTGATACTCTTCCACTTTCCTCATCCTGGGCAGAAACAAAATCCCCAAATTCAGCAACATTTCAAAGGGAATTTCTTTTTTGCTAATCAATAATAATTTGTAGAAGACACATTTATTCAGATAATGCTTGTTAAACATTTAAATTTATGGTTTTTTTTTTTCATGGACATTAGTAGGTACCACATCCACCCCTCTCTCAGATATTTCTTTTCTTTTTTACTTATTTTTTTCTTGTAGTGCTGGGAATAAAACCCTGGCCTCATGCTTGCTAACCACTGAGCAAAACTCCCTGCTCCCCCACATTACATTTTTTGGAATCACTATCATACCTTATACTAAAACCAAAAAACAAAACAAACTTAGAACATTTAGCTATAGTTTTGAAATTATTAAGATTAATTATAATTCTGATAGTTATTGGGAGTTAGCCATATTTAAAAATACAAAGACAAAAACTCTATCACTTTATTAAAGAACAAAAATGATTTATTTGCATACATGGTCAGAAATAGCTTCTACAAAGAATAAGCTTTGAATTTCCTAATTCTTACATATTTAAAGTTATAATCATAGTATGTGAGGTAGGAAGGTGGTAAGGTGGCTATGCATTGAACTCAGTATATAATGCTAAAAAAATTCATAATTCTCATTTCCCACAAAAGCATAAACTGATGTTGATTAATTACTACAATTATATCTATTGTTTTTAGTGTTTATACACACACACACACACACACACACACACATTCTGAACAACATAATCTACAAATAAGAAAACTAAAAATTACTATGACTTTGACAATCCAATCCAATCCGTCCTAGCATTTAACCATAAAACATATGATCTAATTTTTTCTCATTATTGTATAGTATGTTTGACTTTCTAATTATTATTTATCATGATAGTTTTAAATTTTTCAGAGAGAACCTAAAAGAGGAAAGTATTTTTTTTTAAACAAACTATTTCAAACTGGGTACTGTTGCACATGCTTGTAATCCCAGCTAGTTGAGAGGCTGAGGCAGGAAGATCACAAAATCAAGGTCAACCTGGGCAACTTAGTGAGGTTCTGTCTCAAAAATTTAAATTAAAAATTTAAAAGGGCTGGGGATGAGCTACTGGGCTACATTCCCAGTAGCTCAGTGGTAGTGGGGAAAAAAAGTAAGCTATTTTAACATACCACTTTATCGAATTTAGTTCTTGTGTTCATCCAAACTGATTTCAAAGTAGTCTCACTTGTATTAAAGATAGCTAACTTGAACAGTTAAAGGGAAAATAATATAAATGAAAACCACTTTCTCAGAAGTTGCTTTCACTACAAAATTGTTAGACATTCATCAGTATATATAATCAGATAAGTGGTATCATGTAGTCAAAAACATACCCTATGAATTCAATACCAAATGAAACAACCTTTTTCCAAAGATGTCATCTGTGAGAACAATCAATTCAATTTGTCTCTTTTATATTAAAATATGAAAGTAATAGCTAAGGAGGGGAAAATTTAAAAAACAAGGATATTGCACATTTCTTAGCAGCATAGTGTTAGAATCTATGTTCTACCATAGCCTCAATTTTGAATGAATGAGCATTAAAAAAGGTGCTATTTCTAGTAAACTGCTTTGATTTTTTATATTTGCATATTAAGCTACTATACATTTCAAAGTAAAGTACATGATACTTCCCCCTGAAATAATTTGGGGTTCTAATGTATGCTTAGAAACATTCAACTCCCAGAAAAGATGTGGTTTTGATTCCCTGGTGATAGGATGAATTTCCTTATCTTCAAGGCCTCTGAGTGTAAGAGATAGGATTGAATTTCTTCAAGGTCACCCCAAGTCCTGAGAGCCTTAGAGGATTATTTTGGCACTCTGGCTTTCTATTCTCTGAAATATTTGGCAAAGTCTCAGAATTTCATTAGAAAAGAAAAAAAAAACATAAAATTTATGGGAAAAAGTCATAACTGTCTGCATTTGCCAAGGCAATTATATCCCATTCAAGAAATATTCAGTCTAGAGATATATATCAACTACAGAGTGAAAGACTTGGCTTCTATTTAAAATACTCTATTTATAACCCATTGGGTTTTTATGTGTCTTAGTTGAGGCTGAAATAGGTCTGCTCTCCTAACTTTTGAATTAGATGTAATATTAAACGCAAAAAAAATTAAATATATTAAGTCTAACAGTTGTAAACTTTCTCCTACTGGCTAATTTCTAGGTTTCTTTTATTTTTCTTATGACTTGTTTACCTAATAAATGTCAACTGGACATTACTTAATGGCATTGCTGTAAGTCAACAAAAATGTAACTATTGCCATCCTGTGGTGAAACATTCACATAAAGTGAAACTGAAAACATTGTCACTTTCCTAAAGACAGTAAAATCATACCAAAGTTACCTTCCTATGAGCTAAATCAGTTGTTTTATTAGGTAAAATGTCCCTCAAGAAAATACAATTCATTTGTAACTAAGAAATTCTTTCTTTCTTTTTACCAAGTACTGGGAATTAAACCCAGAACCTTGTTCATGGTTCAGGCAGAACTCTTCTCCTGTCTAAGCCTCCTGAGGAGCTGGGATTAAACTGAGTCCAGCCAAAATGTTTTTTAAAAAAATTAAACTAGCCAGGCATGGCAACACATGCCTATAATCCCAGAAGTTCGGGAGACTAAGGAAGAAGTTTATTGCAAGTTCAAAGTCAGCCTCAACAATTTAGCAAGGCCCTCGGCAACTTAATGAGATCTTGTCTCAAAATAAAAAAAGAGCTGGGGATACAGCTCAGTGGTTGTGTGCTTGGATTCAGTCTCCAGTACCAAAAAGAAAAAAGAAAAACACTAAATGAACTACACTGACAATTAAAGGCAATAGCACTCAGTAGAAGGGATATCAAATCAGTCATGTGATTACCTTAAGAATATTTATTTGCTCATATATATATAATATACTGCCATGATTAATTTCTAAATCACCACAAGAAATTCTTACAGGCAATTTTTCATATGATTCTAAAATAAAATTTACCACTTATGTACCATGGATAGGTTAAAAGTGTTCAAGTGTTCTGAAAAGTTGGATTAATAGAGAAACAAAAAAATGGAAGAGTTAAAGCCTAAATTTCATATGGTATAACCCTCTTTTTCATTGTTGTTGTTGTGCTAGGTTCAACCCAGGGTCTCTCAAACAACAGGCAAGTGCTCTACCACTGACCCTCAGCCCCAGGATAATCCTAATAACTACCTTGGGCACTTCTCTCATTTAGGTCCATAGCTATATTTATAATTAATTATACTGGCATTCAATACTATGCATTCATTCATATATTATAACATTAAATAAAAATTAGCTATAGAAAAAAATCACCCCATTACTCTTAAAAGCAAGAAAAAATTATTCAATTATTCAAAATATTCCTAACACTTCTTCCTGGATTATAGACAAAAAGTTTTTAAGCAAAAGTGATATTAATTTCTACTCCAAATTTCAATGTCGGTTATATAAAATACAAAAGACCAAGAAGCAAGAAGGCAAAAAAAAAAAAAAAGCACGGAAACATAAAAATAATGTCAAAATGCTTCAGTGCTAATTTGTGGAGTTACACAATTTTGAAACTACAATAATACAGAAAACTGCATCCACATGATAATAGCATGTAACATGAGAATCATTTGTTGTTGTTGTTGTTGTTATACTTAGTTGATTTCACTACACAACACAAAATGTCCTTTCTACAGCCATGATTCCTGTCTTAAATGTATTATAATTTAAGACAGACAACTATGATATATAGATTTATGTCTAATTAAAAAGACCCTGACATTTAGTTATATAAAAACCAAAAGTTAACATTCAAGGAAAACATTAACTAAGAGTTTTAAAAATCAAATAGAAATAGTGTTTACTGGTAAAAAGAATTAACAAATTTATAGTAAAATACAAGATTCTTCATCCAAACAGACAACATGAGGGAAAAAATTATCCTAGAAATAAGAGTAAGATATATGTAAAAGAAAAGAACTCTCAGGATATATCTGTTTACTATTAGGATAAGTATCAAATTTATATTATTACCTATTTTAAAAACAATTCTTACCTTGTGGTGAAAGTGTAATATCAGATTTACTTCTCACATGTATTAAACGACTTTTTACTGGCTTGTGTTCAACTTCTTTAACATCCTCATCCTGCTTTTGTTGATACTAAAGAATTTAAGACATAAAGTCACAATATTATTTTTTTAAGTTAAAATCTGAGCAGTTATTCAGGTGTTTATTATAAAAATTTTTAATAATATGCTTGCTTTAAAATTACCTTTTAATCATTTTGTTATTTATTAGCACTTCTAACAAATGAGTGATCGAGTACATTTTTTTCTTTTTTCCTTTTCTTGCAGTACTGGGGATAGAACCCAGAATTTCACACATGCTAGGCAAGTGCTCTGTCCCTGATTTATATCCTCAACCTATCAGTACATATTTTTAATGTTTTTATTAGTGCATTATACATAATAGTGGGGTTCACTTTGACATAATCATATAGCATGGAATATAATTTGCTCCATTTCAGTCCCAGTACTTATTTAAAAATTTTTTAAAAAGAGAAAAAAAAAACCTTTAAAAGATTTCAATAATATACATGGATTTCAATTATTTTAAGCCATTTCTTACAATTTCTATTAGAGAATTTAGAGCTACTTATAAAGCAAACCAGTCTAGATTTATACACACATGATGGAGTTAGAATAAGAACTTAATTTGGCTGTAAGCTCTTCCACATAACCACTTTTGCATAAAATGAAAATTTACATAATGCACTGCAATTTTCAAAGAGCTTTTATATATAGTAACATAATTTAATTCTCAAAGTGTGAGGAGGGATTGTTATCCTTCATTTGCCATTCAAAGAATGTATGCTCCACCATAAGCCCCAACGTCTTTTTTTTTTACCCTTACTTAAGCAAATCTGAATTTATAAGAGTCACAAATTTCTTCACAATCAACTTCATAAACTGTGATAACTTTAGCCAATTACTTTCCTTTCCTGTTTTATAGCTTAATTATGAATGAGTTTTAAAACAAATAGCAGGTATACTTTAATAGAACTTTAAAAAGACATCCCTGGATACTTACCAATAACTACAACCATAGAATCTGAAACACCTGTCTACATACACTCAAGAGAGAGAGAGAGAGAGAAAGAGAGAGAGAGAGAGAGAGAGAGAGAGAGTGAGTGTGTGTGTGTGTGTGTGTGTGTGTATACTCAAAAGCACTGACAGGCACATCTTCATCTAGAGGTAAAAATGAGCAGCTTTAGATTAGAGTAATAACAACTAGCCTTAACTCTGGTCTTGAAGTTTAGAGTCACTAGTCATATAGCTTTCTGTCTTGAATGAAATACTACTTTGGTGTGTATTTCTAAGACAGGTACTATGGCTTGAGCATCAAAAATCCAAAATCTGAAATATTTCAAAATCCCAAACTCTTTGGCACCAACATGAATGCCTCAAGTGGAAAATTCTATATCTGAGAGCTCACATGGAAGGTCACAGCCAAAATGTAGGTGCACTAAAAATATTGTATAAAGTTACCTTCAGGCTGTATGTATAAAATGTATATGAAGTATAAATTAATTTTGTGTTTAGACTTGAGTCCCATCCCCAAGATATCTCATTATGCATATGCCATATGCTTCAATCCCAAAAACAGAGACATGAAATCTGAAACACTCTGGTTATAAGCATTTTGGATATGGGATTCTCAATCTGTAACTATCTTAGACGCTGACTCAGAACCTTCTTGTTGGTTCCTTTCCTTACCACAACAAATAAGAGTGGTGTTGTGGAACTGCGCTACCTGTGTTCAAATCTGGCTCAACCATTTTCTATCTTTGGCTTTGAACAAATTATGTAACTCTTCAATACTTCAATTTCCTCATTCATAACAGGAAGATAACAACTACCTCTCATTACTTTGTTATAAAGATTAAATGAGTTAAAACACAAAGAATTTAGGACAGAATCTGGCTAAGTAAGCAGTATAAATAAGTGTGCTGCTATTAACAGTACTAAAGAAATCTTAGCTAAAGACATTTTTTTTTAAATATTTATTTTTTAGTTTTCGGCGGACACAATATCTTTGTTTGTATGTGGTGCTGAGGATCGAACCTGGGCCGCACACATGCCAGGCGAGCGCGCTATTGCTTGAGCCACATCCCCAGCCCCTAAACACATTTAATGAAGGAATTTTTTGAGGTCTACTCTTCTGGTAACACTTCATAGTCTTACTGTAAAGTAGACCAATAGTTAGAGGCAAGCAATCTTTCTTTTTATTAAACAGCTTTTTTGAGGTGTAAGTAATAGACAATAAACTGCATATATTTAAAATGAACAACTTACTAAGTTCTAGCATATATGTATGTATGTATGTATATATGTATGTATCCATTCCATGAAACCATCACCACAACCAAGATAATATAATGACCACATTCATCAATCTCAAATTTTCTCATACCCCTTTGTATTTATTCATTCCCATTTGCCCTGTCTACCTCTACTTCTCACCACCCAAGGCAAAAACTGAAATACTTTCTATTACTACATAGTAGTTTTAATTTTCTAGAATTTTATATAAATAAAATTGTATAACATAATTATTATGGGGGATTGTTTTTTTTTTTTTTTTACTCAACATAATTTTTGCAAGCATCAACCACAGAGCCACCTATGATGGCACACACCGTTAATCCCAGGGACTCAGGAGACTGAGGCAGGAGGATTATAAATTCAAAGCCAGTCTCAGCAACTTAGCAAAGGTCTAAGTAACTTAGTAGGAAGCCGTCTCAAAATCAAAAGTTTTTAAAAGGACTGGGGATGGGGTGCAGTGATTAAGCACCCCTGGGTTTCCCAGTCTAACACCAATGTCTATCAAATACTAATGGATAAATTGTTTTATATTCTGTACAATGTAATATTCAGCAAGAAAATAAAAATAAAATGCACTATTGATATATAAAATAATACAGTGATTCTTTTGGGGGGTGGGTACTGGGGAGTGAACCTAGGGGTGCTTTACCTCTAAGCTATATTCCTAGACCTTTTTTTTTATTTTTTGAGACAGTATCCTACTAAATCGTTAACGGTCTCACTAATTTGCTGAAGCTGGCTTAGAACTTTCTATTCTTCTGTCTCAGCCTCCTGAGTAGCTGGGATTACTGGTATATGCACAACCATGCCTGGTTCACATGATAGTCTTTTAAGTGTTAGATTTCTATTGAGTGTGTATAGTGGTATCTCATTGTGGTTTGCATTTTCCTAATTACTAACAATATTGAGAATCTTTTTTTTTTTTTTTTGTATCAAGGATTGAACCCAGGGGCTCTTAACCACTGAGCTACATCCCAGTCTTTTTTAATATTTTCTTTAGAGACAGGGTTTCACTGAGTTGCTTACGACTTTGCTAAGTTGCTGAGGCTGGCTTTGAACTGGCAATCTTCCTGTCTCAGCTGCCCAGGCCACTGGGATTTCAGGCATACACTACCACACTCAGTTTGAGAATCTTTTTATGTGTTTATTTTCCATTTATCTATCTTCTTTAGATAAAGTATCTGTCCAAATATTGTCTACTTTTTAATTGAATTGTTTGTTTTCTTAATATTCAGTTCTGTGAGTTCCTTATACACTGAGTTTCTTATATACTCTTATATAAATCTTTTAGAAGATAAATGTTCTGCAAATACTTCCTCTCCTTCTGTGGTCTTTCTTTTCAGTCTTCTAATACTGTATTTTGAGGAGTAGAAGGTTCTTAATTTTGATAAGATCGATTTTTTAGTTTGCTTTTTCATGGATAGTGCTTTGGGTACATATCTCTTTTTTCCTTAATAATGATCACAAAATTTTTCCTTTATTCGTAATTAACAAGTTTTTCCTGATCTTTGCTTGGTCACATGTAAGCAATACTGAACCCTATATAATGGTATGTTCTATAAATAATCTTTATTTTTAAAATTTTCTTCCTCAACACAATACTGCTCGAATAACATGCAATGAATATTTGCTGATATAAATTAATCCGCAATAAGAAATAAACTGCCAATACATGAATTCAAAACTGTATTTAATAACATGAGCTTTTATGGATTACTGTCTTAGAGAAGGTAGCCTTTTTTTTCAGTACACACACAATTTCAAAGAACACTGGCTTCGATCATTATGAAATTTCATATTTTTTCATGAAATATATTTTGCAAATTTTCATGAAATAAACATCTATTAGAGTACCCACTATGTACAAATTACTGAACTAGGTATGGAGATACAGGAATGTGAGTGATAATAGCTACCTAACTAGATGTCACATATCTATATCTATTATTTTTAATCTTTAACTTAAAGATAAGAAAATTTAGACTTAGTACAGGCTAAATAATGTGTACAAGGGCACAGCTAGATTTTGGCTGAGCTAAGATTTATATGTAGGCTTGAGTTAGCAAATAAGAGAGGCATGATTTGAACCCAACTGACTATAGAGATTGTTTTTGACTGTATACCATGCAAAGATAATATTGTCACAATTCTCATTTTAAATAAAAAAATATTCTTAATTTGGTACCTGAGAAAAATCTTCAGCTGCCTCCTGTAAATTAACATCATTTTTTTGTGTTGTCAAAAGTGTTGTGGGAAGGACGAGGTTAGTATTTGGCTGCAACTCCAGCTCTCCCAAACTCATTGGACCACGACTAGCACATGAATCTTCATAAATACCACCTGTTATCAAACATGTAAAATAAAAATTAAAAGTCAAATTTATCTTAGAAAAAGAACAAGTGATTGACTAAAACTATCAATATTTCTTACCTACTGAATTAGAAATAGCAGTGTACTTCAACCAAAACCACCTGGTCATCAAGGGTAAAACCAAAACTCAAAGACAATGCAAAAAATACCTATGTTCAAACAAGTGCATGGAATATTCTAAGTAAGGTTCCAATTAATTAGTCACCCATGCAGTTCCTCCTACTCCTCTCCTCACACACCAGCTTCTAATATTCCTTCTTACCTTTCTATCACTAAGAGTTAATATAGTGTTTTCTATCTAAAATGTAATCTTAAAGCAAAGGGCAATACCCCTTTTTTCAATAAAAGTTAATCTATTAACATACAAAAGTGACACAAAAGTAATAGTTTTTCTATCTGCCTACAGCTTGATAGATGTTCCTTCTCCTCCATTTTAATAAATTTTATAGAAATTTTGTTTTCAAATTCTGAAAGTGATTTTTCTCCATGTCCTTGAAAGACAAAAGGCAATTTCTTGTCTAGAAAAAGCTTATATTTTTCTACAAATGATCAAGCTCCTTTTTCTCATCTAAATAGCATCTCAATCAAAATGATAAAAAGAAGAAAATAAAGAACAGAGTCTGATAATAATATCATTATAAACTTGTATTGCACTTTATACTCCAAGCACTTTCATATACATTATTTCATTTAATTTGAACTTCACAATCATTCTGTAAGATAGGCAGGCCAGAGACTGTCTTTCACTGATAAAACTGTCTTTCACTGATAAAACTAAAGTTTATTGAAGTCTAAAACTCAGAAAGCTAGCAAGAGGCACAGAGTAATTAAAACCTACATCTTCCAACTTCTAATCACTGCTCTTTATTTCACGTTCTTCCTAAAATATTTCTAAGAAATTTTCATTTTTTCTAATTAATAGCCACCTTTTAAATACTGCAACGTTTAATATACCTCATTTTAACCGACAGAGATAGACTTGAAAAGTCATACATAAACTAAATTGTTTTAAATGAAAGAATACATTAAAGACACATTAAATATTTTCCACTTAAAGACAAATTGGAATTACACAAGTGACAATTTCCTAAGTACAGAAAATAATCATACTCCGATCTTTTATGTTAATCAAGATTTTAAAGGAGAATTTGAGTAAATATAAAATGTGTCTGTTGAGTTTTATAGTATCAATTCATACAAAACAACTCATGAAAACTATGAACTCATTTTGTTCTCTAGTATAAGATTAATTTAAATAATGATAATAATACCATAACTTAGAATAACCAATGTTCCTGGCCTTATATTTGCTTTACATTCTGACACATCTTTTTCTAGTCCTATGTCACTTGTCTAACATTTTCCTATGATTGTCAAAGAAACTGAGAAGAATTAGTACATATAATGTTGAAGGAGAAGACATTAAAAACTTATTTGCTGACAATATGGCATATACCTAGAAACTCTAGTGAGGAATAAGAACTCTATTAAAATTCATAAAAGAACTTGGTAACATAACTGGTACTAGGTAAACATCCAAAAATGATGAGTTTTTCTTTTTATTATACCGGTAAGTATTTAGAAATTGAAAAAAAAAATTCCTTACTATAGAACAAAAACTATAAAATAATTATTAAATTATAAAACAACAAAGAATAAAATATAATTACAAAATATTTAAATTATAAAAAAATAAAGGATAAATTTTTAAAAGGCACAGAATCCATATGAGGAAAATTTATGAAATCTTATTGAAGGGCAAAATCTATTATTGAAAAATTTAAAATAAAATCTTAGAAAATTAGAATAAGATCTGAACAAATAGTAAGATATACTAAATTGACAGTACTTCTAAAACATAAGTTAGTTTAATTCCAAATTTGGGTAATTTTTGGCTGGATAAAATCCTTTTGAATTTACATGGAAAAATAAGTATCTGGAAATTGTCAAGAAAAGTATGAAAAAAAAAAAAAGGAAGACTTGCCTTATCGGATAACAAAATATGCCAAAAGAGTTTAATCAATGGTTTAGATCATAAATAATCTTGAATTCTTACAGTGAATAATCCAGAAAATAGCCTTACATTTATGAGAATTTAATATGCAAACTGATATTTCAATTCAGTTAGAAAAAGATAGCTCAAATAATTGATGCTGATACACATGGCTATTTATCTGAAAAAAAACTAGATCCTTCCTTCCTTCCTTCCTTCCTTCCTCCCTCCCTCCCTCCCTCCCTCCTTCCTTCCTTCCTTCCTTCCTTTTCTTTTTTTAATACCAGGAATTGAACCCAGGGGCTCTTAATCACTGAGCTACATCCCCAGACAAGGTCTCACTAAGCTTGTTAAGTTGCTAAGGCTGGCTCTGAACTTAGGATCCTCCTGCCTCAGCCTCCTGAGCCTCTGAGATTATAGGTGTGTGCCACTGTGCCCAGCTCCAATTGGATTTTTATCTTATAACATTTACAAAACAAATTCCAGATAAACTTTAACATAAATATATACTTAATAATTAAATATTGCACATACAAAAACCTAAAAAAACTGCAGGTATAAGCTTGTGTTAGCAGAAACCTAACTAAACTATAAAAACAAAGTATAGGCTGGCATCCCTAATCCAGAATATCTGAAATCTAAAGTGCTCCAAAATCTCATACTTCTTAAGCACCAACATGACACAACAAATGGAATTTCTACACCTGACCTTATGTGACAGGTTTCAGTCAAAATGAAAATGCTTCTAAGATCAGGCAAGGCCCAGGAGAATTACAAATTCAAGGTCAGGAGGCTGAGCAGGAGGGTTGCAAGTTTAGGACCATCCTGGACAATTTAGCAAGATCCTGTCTCAAAATAAAATGAAAAGGACTAGGGGTGAAGCTAGCATGCATGAAGCTCTGGGTTCCATCCCTAACACCAAGGGGAAAAGAAATGAAAAAAAAAATGCACTGAAAATATCGCACAAAATTATCTTCAGGCTATGTACATGAGGTATGTATGAAATATAAATTATGTATTTAGACTGGGTCCTGTCCTCAAGATATATCATTATATAAATGCAAGTATTCTAAAATTTGGAAAAAAATCTGAAATCCAAAACACTTCTGATCTCAAGCATTTAAGGTAAGGGATATTTGAACTGCATAAAAGATAGACATATCAGTTGTATAAAAAATTTTATTATATGGCAAAAAAAAATCATAAACAATGTCAATGAACAAAATATAAACCTGGAAAAAGATGTCTGTAATACAGATAATAGAAACAGATTTAAAAGTTACTAGGAAAATGTAGAACTTAACAAATGGGAAAAGAACTTAATAAGAGTAAATACAGGAGTTGTGGCTTATGGTAGATCACTTGCCCAGCGTGTATGAGGCTCTAGGTTAGATCCTCAGCACCACATAAAAAATAATAAATAAAGGTATTGTGTCCATCTACAACTAAAAAATGCTTTAATAATAATAATAATAAAAAGATGGGCTGGGGATGTGCCTCAAGCAGTAATGCACTTGCATGACATGCGTGGGGCGCTGGGTTCAATCCTCAGCACCACATAAAAATAAAATAAAGATGTTGTGTCCATCAAAAACTAAAAAAAACTCTCTTTCTCTCTCTCTCTCTAAAAAAAAAAAGAGTAAATACAAATGACTCGCTAGCAGTCAGATACATGTTTTTATCTGTCAAATGACAAGTTACAAACACAATTTCAGGAGGAAATTCAGGGAAAAGGCTCTAATAAATTGCCTATAAAAGTAAATTGGTTTTAACTTTTAAGAAAGCAACTTGGCATTATTTGTTTTTAACTTTTTAAAAACTTTTCTTTAGTTTTAGGTAGACACAATACCTTCATTTATTTTTATGTGGTGCTGAAGATTGAACCCAGTGCCCCATACATGTAATTCTTGTGCTATACCACTAAGCTACAACCCTAGCCCCTATTTTTAAATTAAAACTATATTTGCCTTTGGATCTAGTAATTACTTTTGGAAACTATTCTATCAGTATAAACTGCAACAATTTACTAGATAAGTGTTTGTGGACATTTATTCTAGAATTGTTAATAGCAGAGGAAAATAGTAATAAAGTAAATATTAATCAACAGAGAAATACTAAATAAATTACTTGAAATCTACACCCTGGAATTTTTATATAATCATCGAGTTTAATTATAACAACTGACCTGGAGTAATCTATAGGGTTTCCTGGGGTAAACAAAATGCAGGCAAGTGAAAAATACTGGCTATATGTATTGTTTGTGTGTATGTAGGTGCATGTGCACGTATGTGCATACATAATTATGTGTGTAAGGAAAAAAACAGCAAAGTTACATACCAGAATCTTAACATGGATCACTTGGGATAAGGCAGAACATGAGAAAGTTTGAGAAAATTGGGGGGAGAGTGTATGGAGGGCACCCAAAAAGTACGTAATACCTTTCAAATTATATAACACCTATCAATTAACAGATATTTACTATATACCATGTACTCTGTACCTTGCTAGATGACAGGGATACAACAGTACAAAAATAGTTACTATCTTTATGTGAGGTTACAAACAGCATAAAAGTGACACTAGCCAACGTTAGAGGATTACTTAGAGTACTTATGACAGGTATCTAAACCAGGAATAAGGGGTCAGGAAAGAATTCCATGACAGCATAACAATGCTGAATTTGCTGTGTCACTTCTAAAAAGTATGCTCATTAAGTGTGGATGACTTTGTAATGTTTTGAGCAACTGATAAAAATAATTTTTAAAAAAGTGTGGATGACTTTTCATATGATGCAAGTCAGACCTTTGTAACAGTGATACTTAAAGTATTATTTCATTGAAGTCAACATAATGTACAATAATTTGAAATCCCCACTTTCCTAAGGACCTTATTATACTGAGAAAGGAACCAATACAGACTTTCAGAAAACACTAAACTCAGAAAACTAAGTTCACCTGAAATTACCAGTGCTCGCAACAGTTTTTTGCCTGGTTTGTCAATAGATTATTTCACTAGTATAAAACCTGAAGGCACTTCAAATCCAACATGTATAAAACCCCACCATCCTATTTCCCCCTGAGTCTGTCCCTCCTCCATGTTCCCACTCCTAAGATGAATGGGATGACCACCGAGTCAAGCATTTTGGTCTGAAACTTGGGTATTTCTTAAACATTCCATATCTTTTGCACCTCTCAAATTCAAATTAAGCTTTGTCCATCCTCCTTAATTATCTCTCAAATCTCCCTTTTCATATATCCTCACTGCTGAATAATGTCTCCCCAGGCTTACATTAACAGTCATTTAATCAGGTTCCTTGTCTCCAGTCTTAACCCTTCCAAATCCAACCTTCACATTGCACCTCTGATGATCTTGCTAAATAAAAGGCTATAATAAAATTATGTCATTCATTTACTTATAATTCTGTCCATATGAAATTCTAAAATGCCAAACTCTAAGCCACTTTGCTACACTGCCAAATATACGTGTGTGTATAAGCATATATATGTATATGCTCAATCATGCCACATTACCTAGTATTTTTCCAATTAAATCAAATATTACAAATATATCTACTATTAAACATAAACTGTACTATAGGTAATCTTCCAAGTGCTACCAGAGATATAAAGGTCTAGATGAGCTACATCGTCATGGATTTTGTTCTATAATAATTTAACAGGAACCTAGCTCTTCTCAAGTACTCAGCAGCTCTAAATTGATCTGCGAGAGCCATCTAGTGTCAATTCTGTTTAACTGCAATCTGCACAATTACAATATAAATAAAGCCACATTTTATGCTATTTGAAATAAACTTACTTGAAAGAATATAAAGCATCTTATAGTCTAAGCATATGCACAAAATGAGAACTAATGCCAATCTTTACATTTATTCCCATGGAAAATTCAGTCTTAACGACTGAATTAATATAAGATGTTAACTCAATATAAAACTAACACTATAAATTCTCTATACCTGTGTTTTTATAACCTCAGCCATTTCCTTTTCTGATTTCTGGAAAATCTGCACACCAAAAGACATTTATTTTTGCTTTGAGAATGCAGCAATAGGCATAGAAAAACAAGTAATAAAAATATAGTCAAGCCTCATTTGCAAATTTACTCACTAAAATTTATTTGTATCTCCAAGATTAATATTCATAGTACCTATGGTGGTCATTTATGGACGTGTGAAGGAGGAAAATCACACAGCACACACTCACCCAGATGAAAGTGAACAGAGACTTTGCATTCTTATTTCATCTTTTATACTATAAGCAAGTGACTTTGTGTGTGTGTGTGTGTGTGTGTGTGTGTGTGTGCAATTTTGCTGCTTAAAATGGTAGCCTGGCCATCTTAAAAATACTAAAATACTATCTAGTGTTCCAGAGCATAAAAAGGCTCTGATCCGCCTTGTGGAAAAAATATAATTCAGTGGTAAAGTGCTTGCCTAGTATCAGGAGTATTTTTTTGTAGTACTGGATATTGAACCCAGTACTACAAAAAAAAAAAAAAAAAAACACCCCTCTATATATTTAAGTATACACACATACACACACACACACACACACACACATTAAATAAGATGGCTTCATAGAGAAACCAGGTTATATATTGATCAACTGACAATGTTGTAGTGAGAGGTTTACAGGAATCTAAGCCTAAATTTCTCCTAGGAGAATGGTTCACTATCTGCTAGTAATGTTCGTGGCTACTATAGAATATAACTACCACAGATAATGAGAATTAACTCTCTATGCTAGTGATCAATATTCTATTTTATCCTTATTTCCAAAGTGTTAAAGCAGAAAGTGTTAAAGCAGAGTCCTGTGTACACTGACTCCTGATCTGAAAATCACAGTTAATTTTTGCAATATTATCTAATTGAACCTGTCCTAAGTGATATCTATTATGTCAGTTTTGATGGGGTAGTTATATTTTTCTAGTATATATTAAAATAAATGCATCAATTAAATGCACATATATTATCAAAATTAACTCATGTGCCACCCAACACTGCATGTACCAACACTGATACATGAATCACATTTGGGAAAACCTTGCTCTATATCCCATAGAAAAGTTATTACCTTTAACAACAAAAAAAAAATTTTCAAGGCTTCATCTGAAAATAATTATACTTTTCTCAATTCAGATTTTTGGAACAGTACTATAGATTATAATACAAAACAGAATACAGCATTCAGCATGGAAAGAGTTCAAAGAAAATTGAATAGGATAGAAACTGAATATTTTATTAGATGATCCAACAAGAAACAACATTTTGCTATATACCTGAAACTGTGTCAAATTGCTGAAAAAATGGCTTTGGATCACATGGTTGATCCACAGACTCTGCGTTAGCAACAGGCTGTTGCATAAACAGAGACTGTCCCTTCAGGATCTTTTCTGCTGCTGCTGTCAGCTTGGGCCTTTGTCCTTCACTGAGTTCACCGACACTGTGTTCCAAGTCCTTCAAAGGAAACAACTGTTAAAACCATAATATTAAAAACAAACCAAAACAGCAAATATTTGATAAATATCATGGTCCATACCACTCACTTGCTTGGAAGGTACATTATAAAATGATTCCTATGCCACATATACATTACATGGAAAATAAATTTTAAAAGGTATTTTAGTAAAACATACAGTAGTAGGCTTTGTTTTGAATACCTTATTTTATATACATACACACACACACACACACACACACACACATATTAGTTGTACATGGACACAATACCTTTATTTTATTTGTTTTATTTTTATGTGGTGCTGGGGATCAAACCTAGTGCCTCACATGCAGGCTAGGCAAGCATTCTACCACTGGCAAAAACCCCAGCTCCTGAATACCTTATTTTTTCTAAATATATATATATATATATATATATTTGTAGTTGGACATAATATCTTTATTTTATTTATTTATTTTTATGTGGTTCTGAGAACTGAACCCAGCGCCTCACACATGCTAGGCAAGTGCTCTACGGCTCAGCCACAACTCCAGCCCTGAATATGTTTTATAAGGTTAATCATTATGTTTCTCAACTTATAATTAAATATCAATAAAATATAAGAAAAATTCTATTATAATTTAAAACAATAAATACTGCCACACATTGTACATTGTTCATACAACTTAACATTTGAACCATAGAAAATATATCTCTCATTTTTCATGAAACAGAATTCTCTAAAGCTGTTAGTGTGAACTTTATAATTAAACAACTAATGAGGAAAACAATATCTTTTAAGTAGTATATAGATTATCTATATATAAATAATTATGGTTTTTGTAAGTATGCAGATTTAAGACTATTTAAACCATATTTAATAAAGTTCTTTTCCCCATGAAAGTACAAAAATAAAAAAAGTACAAATGTGAAGCTGGTTGTGGTGGCACACACCTGTAATCCTAGCGACTAAGGAGGCTGAGGCAAGAAGATTGCAAGTTCAAACCCAGTCTCAGCCACTTAGTGAAGCTCTAAGCAACTTAGCGAGACCCTGTCACTAATAAAATATAAAAAAGGAAGGGCTGGGGACGTGGCTTGGTGGTTAAGCGAGTTCAATCCCTGGTACACAAAAACAAACAAATAAAAAAAGTTTACTTCATATATATGACATATATATTTACTTCATATATATGACATGTTTGTCACATATATGAAGTAAATGGAAAGCTAAAAAAGATTGATGTATATTTTCTATTAAAAGTTATATATCATATTCTGCATTAAAAATTAATACACTAGTATATTTTGTAACTTACAGATAATCTAATGAATTTAATAATCAAGAATAGAATAGGAATTCCAACATCAAAATGCTCCCAGGATTCTCTTTCTTGCTTTTTTTTTTTTTGTTGTTGTTGTGTATGTGTATGTGTGTGTGTGTGGTACTAAGAATGAAACCCAGGGTCTCACCCAAGCTAGGCAAATGGCAAGCACTCTACTACTGAACTACATCCCCAAATGCATGTTTTTTATTTTAAAGGGGCTTAATTCAACCAACATCTTTGATGATTCTACTGACTATGAAATAAAATCTAAACCTATAAATTTAGATTCTCTACAATTCTCTACAATTTTCCAAAATTTTATTCAAAACATCTATATATCCCCCATTCCCTTAACCTGACTCCTCTTTAGGAATACTAAGTGCCTCACATCCTTTAAGTTGAAAAATATTAATTTGTGAGGAATATATCCCTTGGAGACTCTTGGGCAATATTTGGAATAATGGCAGACATTTTCTTCAGAAACTAATTTGAAATATTTCACAGTAGCTATGTTACTGCTTAAAGGTAAAGGTTATGTCCCATTCATCTTTATCTTTTTCAAGGACGTGTGTAGCATATAGTAGATGATCAGTAAAAGGTCACAGAATGAATGAGTGATACATAAATCATTTTAAAGAGCTTCAGTTTTTTCAACTGTAGAACAAAAGGAGTAGAAAAGATATTCTAAATTCTCTCCAGTTATAAAATCCTACATTCTATGACTTTAGGTTAAAGTTCCTTTTTAATAACTGAAATATTAACATGCCTTAATTAAAAGTGGGAATATTTTTATTTTTTCCTGATTTGTATCTAACCAAGAAATAATTAAGATTAGATAATACCTCTGAGTGATAGACTGATTGCTGTGAAACTAATAATTCTTGATTTTGTTTAGTAAGGAGAGAAAGAATTGCATCTGCATGAAGCTTTTTATGGGGCATCCCAATCACCTGTCCTTCACTGGGAGGATCATCTTCCTGAAAGAAACATAAACACAATTAACACATCAAAAAACTTTATCAATCTGCATTTTTCTCAATTATGAATAACAAAAACTTAGCCATTCAAATTACATCAATCCTTTTTGGAAAAAAAGATAAACTCTTCATTTTCATTTAATTCTTTTTTAAAAAAATATTTTTGGGGGCTAGGTTTGTGGCTCTACAGTACAGCACTGCCTAGTATGTGTAAAGGCACTGGGTTCGATTCTCAGCACCACATATAAACAAATAAAGGTCCATCAATAACTAATAAAAATATTTTTAAAAATATTTTTTAGTTGTAGATGGAAACGATATCCTTATTTTATTAATTTATTTTTATGTGGTACTGAGATTTGAACCCAATGCCTCACAGTGCTAGGCAAGCACTCTACCATTGAGCCACACCCCCAGCCCCTCATTTAATTCTTATTTCCATCTGACTACAATAAAACACGTTTGCTTCAAACAAACAACACTATAATTTGGTAACAAACTGGAGACTTATTGTAAAAACATGAAAATTGGACCTCTGTGTCAAAACCACAAGGATTCACAAGTGTCTTATATATGTCATCAGGGTTTGGGCTTACGTGGTTTCCTGCTTCACCTTTATTCAGTGCACAAAGCAATGCCACACTGAGGCAATGAGGACAAAGCACTGGAGTAATGGATCTAAGGCAAAAATGGAAAACTGCAGAATATGCAACAGAACTCAGAGACCTTCAATGTCCTTTTGCCTTTGTGCTGACATCTGCCTCAGCTAGAGAGCAGGTATTGAAACACGCACTAAGACATCTTGCCTTTGATACTTCACTGTACTTCAAAGCAGACCTATTCCCAAATGAGGGACAGGTGGGCATCAGAGTCAGACAAACTGGATTCCCTCATAAAGACAGGTATGAATCTGATTTTACATTCATTAAAAGTCATTTTAATTAGTTCCTTTTAGTGAAATGAAGTTAATTCTGGACTATAAATGCATATCTTCCAGTTTTATATGGATAAATGTCTAATGACTTTTTTTTTGGTACATGACTTCAAATTATTCTGGGTTTTTCCAGATTATTCCTTTGCATTTGATTTTATTATGAATTTGTAGCATATCATTTCAGTATAATAAAAATATCAAAATTAGAAATGAGTTTCAAATGTAGAAGAAGAAAGAAGTTACAATTTAGTCCTGGTTCAGTTAACTATTTACTTTATAGAACTTTAAATATACATTGGCTAAGAATAGATAAAAATGCTATAATGTCATATTAGTAGGCCAGATAAAGCTCCTCAGAAAATACAGATACTCATTTATGCCTTCTTCCTGTATTGTTTTATGAAAGTGATTATACCGTGTCTACAATGGACTCAATTACTTGTATTAAATAGTCATTCCTAGCTGGGTGCAGTGGCACACACCTGTAATCTCAGCAACTCAAGAAGCTGAGAAAGGAGGACTCAAAAGTTTGAGGCCAGGGACTAGGGTTGTAGCTCAGTGGTAGAGTGCCTGCCTCACAAATGTGAGGCACGGGGTTCTATTCTCAGCACCACATAAAAATAAATAAATAAAATAAAGATATTGTGTCTATCTACAACTAAAAAAAAAATTTTTTTTTAAAGTTTAAGGTCAGACTCAGAAACATAGTGAGATCATTTCTCAAAATCAAAAATTTTAAAGAAAGGGGCTGGGGTTGTGGCTCAAGTGGTGGTATCATTTCTCAAAATCAAAAATTTTAAAGAAAGGGGCTGGGGTTGTGGCTCAAGTGGTGGTGCGCTCGCCTGGCATGCATGGGGCACTGGGTTCAATCCTCAGCACCACATAAAAATAAAATAAAGATATTGTATCCACCTAAAACTAAAAAATAAACATAAAAAAAATTTTAAAAAAGACTGGGGAAGTTGCTCAGTGCGTAGGGCACCCTTGGGTTCAATCCCCAGAACTGCCCACCCCAATCATTCCTAAAAAAACAATTTTCAAATAAAATCCTTTTTGTGTGTGTGATGCTGGGGATTGAACACAGGGCCTTGTGCTTGCAAGGTAAGCAGTCTACCAACTAAGATATATCCCCAGACCTCAAATAAAATCTTATCAAAAATTTTCTTAATTATTTCCTTACTCCTTTGTGAAATTTTATCTTATAAACACATCAGTAATAATAACAATGCTTAGCAAAAAATATGGTAAATATAATTACCTTTCTTTGCTTAGGTGATTTGAAAATACATAAAAAGTAATTATTTCCATTTTTTAACACTTTCTTCAAAAGAAAATTTCCAATATTATTCCAATTTTATATATTTTATTTATGTAAAAAATATATAAATAATCCCTTTACCAAGGCATTGTTTAAACAGACTACAACACTTTAAAAAATGACATAGGGACTGGGCATGGTGGTGCATGCTTGTAATCCCAGTGGCTTGGGAGGCTAAGGCAGGAGGATTTCGGGTTCAAAGTCAGCCTCAGCAAAATTGACTTAGCAACTCAGTGAGACTCTGTCTCTAAATAAAATACAAAATAGGGCTGGGGATGTGGCTCAGTGATCAAATGCCCCTAAGTTCTATCCCCAGTGCCCCTTCCCCCCAAAAAAGACATAGACCTGTGTGTCTGTGTGTGTGTATGCTATGACTGTTTTTTGTTGTTGTTTTGGGGGTTTTTTTGGTACCAGGGACTGAACTCAGGGGCCCCTGACCACAGAGCCACATCCCAGCCCTATTTTTTTAGTTTAGAGACAGGGTCTCACTGAGTTGCTTAGTGCCTCACAGTTGCTGAGGCTGGCTTTGAGCTTGCAATTCTGTCTCAGCCTCTCAAGCCACTGGGATTACAGGCTTGCACCACCATGCCCGGCACGTATTATGACATTTTAAAATGTTAATTTTTTCCTTTTTTAGAGCTAGATAATAACTAGGAAGAATTAGCATCCCTGGATCCTATTTTAGTTTTTCTTTTTGGGTCATTAAATTTACATATTCATTAGCACAAACAATTATAATCATGATTAAGGCAAAAAACAAATGTATTAAATGAGATTTGATTAAAATAGGTAAGATTTTTCAGAAAATATTATAAATATTGTAAAGACAACACATCTAGGTGACACTTTGCATTGAGATAGATTTTATTACCTAATTATATTAACTGTATATTTTTTAACTACTGGGGCCACAGAGGTTAAAAACAACTTTTCATTCTCACAATTATGATAATATTACATAATAAAATGTACAAAAACCCTACATTCCTTCATGGATAAGATTTTACTAAATTGTGTGCCTATAACTCGAATAATTGAGAAAAAATCTAATCAGTTGCAACAAGTTCATCAAGATATTCTTCCTGTCAGAATTCAATGTTATAAACATTCCGTACCATTTCAAGAGCATCTTGCAAAGTGCTAGATAAGCTATCATTTAGGTGTGTCAGATATATTTCTCCAGCTCCTAAAACTAGAAATTAAGATGTAACAGGTTAGAAAAAAGAAGACATGAACATCAGTTTTTTAAACAATGCAATTTAAAACAAAGATAAGATTGCTGTTTCACCTGCAAGTTTGTCAGAAATTTAACAGAACTGTTAAGTAGCACTACAGATATGAAATTGAGAAATAGACTCTCCTATATATTAGTATAATTAAAAATTTATTAAATTAAAGTAGATTAATTTTTCCAGAGATGAATCTTTTTGTGTTGTTGATGTATTACTATTTTAAAGGTATCTACCCTGACTCAGCAATTCCATTTCTAGTCATGCAATCTATGGAAATTATTACATTAGTACACAAAGAAACACAAACACACACATTAAGGATGGTCATTAAAGAGTTGTGCATAGTCTAGAAACATTGAAAACAATTTAAATGCACTCCACTAAGACACAATTTAAATAGACTAAACAACTACTTAAAAAACTGACAGAGACCTATATGTGTTGATACTGTAAGATGCCTACAGTGTATCATTATTAAGTTAAAAACTCAGGTTTCAGAATAATATGCATAGTTTCATCCCATTTTAAAGGTAAATGCGCATACACATGTATGTATTTAGGTGTCTATATATGCACAGACAAAAGTATACTGGAAGGATATTAGTTCTAGAGAGTAAGATTATAAGGAAGTTTCATTTTCTAAAATTAAAATCCAGAAGTTACTTATATAGAGAACCTATTCTTTCTAGTATACTATGATAAATATTGAAAATTAGGTAAAAACACTTTAAAAAGAAAAGTTTTACCAAGGGACTTATCACAATCTACCAATGAAATCAATTAATACAGGAACTTACTCTTGGGAGCCAATTTTTGACCACAGCTAAATAAAACCTCTCCTTCAGAGATGGGTCTATCTAAAGTTTCTGTTTCAGTGACAGTAATGCTCAAAGTGCTCTCCATTGTAGAGGAACCAGAACTTGGCATCTGTAAGGGAGAAGGAGCCTTGGTGGCTGCAGGAAATGGTGTAAGGGGAACTGGCTCTGGAGGCGCAGGCTGAGCAGGGAAATCCACACTCTCAGGTTCTTCATCTTTAGCTACAGACATTACACTAAGAAGATAAGGACATATTTTGAATTTATTAGGTTTATAGGCCTATATTCATTTTTATATAAAAAACAGATTCAAAGGTGCTGTGTCTCCTTTAGCATAATATTTCTATGAACTATACTTTTATAATTAATAAGATTCATTCTTCTAAAATTGTTTTTATGCTTTAGTCATTGGCCCTCTTGAAACCTCTTCTAGTCAAAAAACAAATCTACATGGGATAAACAACAACATAAGTTAAGTGATCATAGTAAATGATGATCCATACTAGAGAGAAATCACTTTCTATCTTATTATCAGACAGATACCTTTATTAAGTCTGTTTCCAACATTTTAAAAAAAGAGGTGAAGATTTAAGTAAATTGATAAGTTTAAAAACTTAAAACTTATAAAACATCTTCCAAGTATAGTGTGGTTTATAAAGCTCTTCATCACCTCTATGTTTCACTGGGTCATACAAGTAAAACATAAGTGGGAGTATACAGTTACTAAGAATTAATCCAGTCAGCCCTCCATATCCACAGGTTCCATGTCCAGGAGTCACCCAACCACAGACTGAAAATATTTTTTCAAAATATTAGAGTCTGTACTTTTTGTGTGTGTGTCATTATTCCCTAGACAATACATTATAAAACAATACATTATAATAACATTTTACATCATCTCTAGATTATTACCAAAAATAATTATTATCAAAAAGCATTTTCAATGAATTAGGTAATAATCTAGAGATGATGTAAAATGCATGTAGATTATATGTAAATACCTTGCTATTTCATATAAGGGACTTGAATATGTGTGAATTTTGGCATGAGGAGATGGGATCCTAGAATAGTCCCCCTCCAATACAGAGGGATGACTATAAATTCTTACTTACATAGCCCTTGGGTGAACAAATCCTTCTAATAGAGAGTTAGGATTCTCCTCATCCAGTGGCAGGTCTCCATCCCCCCATGGCTTGGGAAGCTCTGGGCTTGATATCTTCAATTTATCAATGGAAATCTCTGACAAAGTTGGGGTAAGAGCAGCTGCAGCTGCTGGAGGAGGCGAAGGAGCAGGGGTAATTGCTGGAGTATTCACAAGTGTCATGGTAGGCATATCATGTCCTAAAGAGTTTTGTTTTTTTTTTAAAAAAAAAAAAAAGAAAGAAAGAAAATGTTAAAAGTCAGTCAACAACTCCCATAAGACAATACGTTGCTTCAAATACCTTTAACATTTTGGGATACAAATAGTGGCAATAGTAATAACAGTGACGATGGTGGTGACCATTAGCAAAAAAATTCCTAAATTAATTTAATAAAGTATAAAAAAAACTAGAAAAAAATGGCACTTTTAACACTACCATATACTTAAAATAGTCTATTTCTTTATATACTTTAAGAAGCGGTAATTCGGGCTAGGATTGTGGCTCAGAAGTAGAGCGCTCGCCTAGCACGGGTGGGACCCGGGTTCGATCCTCAGCACCACATAAAAATAAAGGCATTGTGTTGTGTCCATCTACACCTTAAAAAAAAAAAAAAGTGGTATTTTGGGGCTGGGACTATAGCTTAGTGGTAGAGCACTTGCCTAGCATGTGTGAGGCCCTGGGTTCGATTCTCAGCACTGCATATAAATGAGTAAAACAAAGGTCCATTAACAACTAAAAAATATATACATATATATTTTTTTTTAGTTGTTGATATATGTATGTATGTATATATATATATATGTATATATATATATTGTTTTTTTTTAAAGAGGTGGTACTTTGGTTTGAATGTTTGTTCATGTGTTAGAAACTTAATCCACAAATTGATGTGGATATTTTGGAGTAGGCTAATTAGGGTTAGATGAAGATATGAAGGGGGAGACATATGATGTAATTAGTGGCTTTATAATAAGAGAGACTCTCTTATTATAAGGCTCTCAGGTTCCTGCTTTTGCCATTGTGTAATGCCTTCTGTCAGTATGATACAGCAAGAAGACCTTACCAGCCAGGTACATTGTCATATGCCTATAATCACAGCAGTTTGGGAGGCTGAGGCAGGAGGATTGCAAATTCAAAGCCAGCCTCAGCAATTTAGCAAGACCCTAAGCAACTTAGAAAGACCCTGTAACAAAATAAAAATTAAAGAAAAAAAGGACTAGGGATGTGGTTAAGCGTCCCTTGGTTTAATCCCAGATACAAAAAAAAAAAAAAAGAGCAACCCTCACCAAATGCAGCATCTCAATTTTGGACTTCCCAAAATTTAAATTTTAAAAAATACATTTATTTTTTTAATAAATTATCTACTCTGTAGTAATTTAATACAGTAATATAAAACAGACAAGTGGCAACCAATTCCTTAATTTTTCTCATATGATAATGATTTACTAAAACCTGGTAAGCAACAAGTATGTATAAAGCGTCTAATAAAACATCATAAAATTTTAATTACTACTTGCTAAAATTAAAACTGAATTATAGAAATAAGGTTTCTACCTTTTTCAGGAAATACATCTTTTACAGAAAAAGCCCCATCATGATCTGAATCACATGGAGAAGAATCTGGAGTTTTCACTAACACCCGGTCCTTAGGAGGTGATGAAGGTGATCGAGGAGGTGTAGGCTGTGGAGTAGCCACAGGGGTACACACTCTTGCCTAAAATAAAGTAGTACAACAAGACAAATGGTTTATAATCACCCAAGTACTGCAAGCTCATTCATAGACTATATCGAATTTAAATGGGGGGGGAAGGGGGCGCAAAATAACAGCAAAAAAAAAAAAAAAAAAGGAGACTTAAATACCCTGGCTCTTAAGTATCTAGCTACCAGTATAAGGCTGGTCTACAGAAAGCCTCTACAATTGAAAAACCCTGCCTCTGAAACAGGCCTCCAAGAAAACTAAGGCACCCTATTTTAATGTAGAGATAAAGACTATCTATATAGTTGAAGATCAAAACCAACTATAAATTTGATGAATAGGCCACGAAACCAAAAGGAAACATTTTAACTGTCAAGATATAAAAAAAAAAAAAAACTAAGCCCTTTTGCACAAAGAAACAGTATATAAAAAGGAACAGAAGGATTTAAAAAAGTGGGTGGGGAGAAATAATAATACGGAAATAGAAATTACTAGGGGAATAAAAAGAGAACATTTTCATACTAATTTGTTGAATACATAATCAAATGGCTCAAAATTAAGGTAAAAAAGAATGACAGTGAAAATTAAGTCTCCTTCCTGTGTCCTTTTTACATAGTTCTATTCCTCAGAGTTATCAAATACTCTAGACTTAAAAGTCATTTCATATTTATTTATTTATTTATTGATTGATTGATTGATTGCCAATTCCAAGTATATTCCAAGTTGTCAAAGCTGGATATTGGGAAAAGTTTTCAATTGGCAATAATCATGCCTTGGATAAATCTCATTGGCTATGATACTACTGTTTTGCAAAGCTTCATTACATAGTCATATAAATTTATTTATGGAATAAAACTCCAGAAATAGAGTTCTTGATTAAAGAGCTGTGTTTTTTATTTGAATAGTTATTTCACTAAATTTCCCTCTACAGAACTGTACATTTCATACTACCACCAGAAGGTATGAGAATGTCTATTTCCCCAAGGTTTGCCAAACAATAGCTTTATCAAACTTTTAGATTTTTGCCAATCTGATCAATAAAATGGAACTTCAGTGATTATTTTCCTTATTATCAGTGAGGCTGACAGTCTTTTTACATTAATATGGATGATTTATATTTCTTCAGTATTTGTGGACTCTTTGGTCATATTCTTTGCCCATTCTTAAAATAGATTATTTGTCTCTTTTCATTCTGAAAAATTTTTATAAATTAGGATTAGCCTCTATTCTATGAGTTGCAAATTAATATACAATTTAAAAATGAAGCATATGAGAAATTCTATAATATTGCATCATAATAGGCATATTCTTATTCTTATTCTTACTATTTTTTTTTTTTTTTTTTTTTGGTACCAGGGATTGAACTCAGGGGCACTTAACCACTAAGTCACATCTCCAGAACCTTTTTTATACTTTGAGACAGGATCTTGCTGAGTAGGTTAGGGCCTCACTAAGTTGTTGAGGCTGGCTTTGAACTCTCAATCCTCTTGCCTCAGCCTTCCAACTTGCTTGGATTACAGGCGTGCACAATTACTCCTGGCCATAATTGGCATATTCTTAACTTTCATTTTAGAATGAATGAAATATATTATGCCTTTCCCCTCTTGACTACATAAAAATATAGCATAAAAATACTGCTTTCAAATATGATGTCATTGGCTACTTTATCATAATGACAAGATCTAAAGGTATTCTAGTGACATAATAATGGATAATGATGATGATAAACTATTTTTGACTATTCCAAGTTCCATATACTAGATCAAGCTCTTTGCATATATCATCTCATTTAATCTGCCACAAAACTTTATATAAGGACTAAGAACTCACAGTATGATAAAGGCATCAATCACTTGCAAATTAAATCAAAAGTAGATTAATTTTCATAAAAATCCCAATGGGATTTTTTAATGATGAAAGAATGGGGGTGAAGCCCAGTGGTACAGCACTTGCCTAGCATGCATGAGGCTCTGGGTTCAATACCCAGCACTGCAAGCTCCCCGCTGTGAGAGAGAGAGAGAGAGAGAGAGAGAGATTGATTGATTGATTGATTTGTTATGGCACTTACATTAAGTGTGGGGCTGGGGATTAAGCCCAGTTGGTAGAATGCTTGCCTCAAATGTATACGGCCACGGGTTCAATCCCCAGGACCACACACAAAGTCAGGTGTGGTAGTATGCACCTGTCGTCACCAGGCTGAGGCAAGAAGATGGCAGGTGTTTGAGAGTTTGAGGACAGCCTAGGCAATATAGTAGAACCCCATTTCAAAAGGAAAATAAAACGCCAAAAAACTCTTTTTAACATATATTTGGATAACCATATTAAATGGGCCCAAGGGTAAAAAAAAAAAAAAGACATGGCAAATGTGAAGATAAAGAATAAATCATGTGGGAGGGCTTGCCTTACTAGATATTCAGTAAGCAGATTTTAGTAAAGTCACAGTCATTTAAACTCTATTCTATCTCTACTATAATAGAGCTGAGGGGTAAAATCAGGTGTTATGAACTCCAAAGTCAATGCTTTTAAATTTTGTAATGTGCCTATTTACACACTGGGGGTTTTTTTCTAATTTTTTTTCATAGAATCACCCTCATGAAAGCATATAGACTAAAAACAAACCAAAGTAATTGCCATAGAGAAAACTACAACCCTAACCACTTCAACACTGTGTTCACTACCAAAGAGTTAATAAACCACAGATTTGGGCAAATTTATACCACACCAATCCCTAAAAACATCAAATTATAACTTTATGTTTATGTACCAAATCGATGTTGCACCTATATATCTTTGTAATCAAAAGGCTCAGAAGTGACTAAGAGTTTTAAGCAGCTGGTAATGTCAAGTAAATTTTGGATATAATTTTATAATGCTATAAAAGCTTAAAAATTCCAACTAACATAATAAGGCAAATATACTTTCTTTTAAAGATAAAAACATCACTTCACATAATAACCTAAAGCAAAATGGCCTTCCTTGGCTATATCTTGAATTTTTTTAAGAACAGACATTTCTGGAACAACTGGAGAAATCTGAATACAGTCTCCATATTCTATGTAATTAGCAATGTTAAAAGTTGGGAGTTATAAGAATGGTATTTTATTTATGTAATATATGTTTTTTATGTAATATTTATTTTATTGGTTCTTTTTAGTTACATATGACAGTAGAATCCATTTGATATAATTATGTAAGCATGGAATATATCTTATTCTAATAATTAGGACTCCAGTCTTGTGCATGTACATAATGGTGAGATTCACTGTGGTGTATTCATACATAAACATATGTAAGTTATGTCAGATTCATTCCATTGTCTTTCCTTTTCCTATCCCTCCTCCCTTCCCTTCATTCCCCTTGTCTAATTCACTGAAATTCTATTCTTCCCCTCCCCCCCTTATTGTGGGTTAGCATCCACATATCAGAGAAAACAATCAACCTCTGGTTTAGGGAGACTGGCTTATTTCACTTAGCATGATAGTTTCCAGATCCATCCATTTACTGGCAAATGTCATGAAGTCATTCTTCTTTATTGCTGAGTAATACTCCATTGTATATACACATCACATTTTCTTTATCCATTTGTTGAAGGGCACCTAGGTTGGCTCCATAGCTTAGCTATTGGGAATTGTGCTGTTATAAACATTGATGTGCCAGTGTCACTGTAGTATGGTGATTTTAAATCCTTTGGATATATACCAAGGAGTGGGATAACAGGTTCAAATGGTGATTCCATTCCTAGTTTTTTGAGGAATCTCCATACTGCTCTCCAGAGTGGTTGCACCAACCTGCAGTGCCACCAATAATGTATGAATGTACCATTTCCCCCATACTCGCTGACATTTATTGTTACTTGTACTCTTGATAACTGCCATTCTGACTGGAGTGAAATGAAATCTCAGTGTAGTTTTAATTTGCATTTCTCTAATTGCTGGAGATATTGGGCATTTTTTCATATATTTGTTGACCATTCATATTTCTTCTTTTGAGAAGCATCCGTTTAGTTTGTTTGCCCATTTGTAATAAAGTATCTTATTCTTAGGTGATACTGCTGATGCATTTGAGGTGAAGTATCATGATGTCTAAAACTTTCAAATGTTTTTTTAAAGGATAAAATTATGTAGACTTTTTTTTAATTTTTATTGTTGGTGGTTCAAAACATTACATAGTTCTTGATATATCATATTTCACACTTTGATTCAAGTGGGTTATGAACTTCCATTTTTACCCTGTATACAGATTGCAGAATCACATC